AAGAGTTTGTTTTCTTTGATATAAGGAGACTGATTCATAGTGGGATAAGGAGGGGGAGGATGGGAGGAACAGATAAACAAACTCTAGACAGGGCATAGAGGTTGGAGGGGAAATTTTGAAACTTCTAGAAGAYAACATAGGGGAAAGACTTCAAGATATTGGCACAGGATATGATTCCTTTCAGACTCCAATAGCTCAAGAAATATCCAAACTGATAAATGAGATCAGATTATAATAAAAGGCTTGGGCACAGCAAAATAATTAATCAACACAGTAAAGAGACAATCCACAAATGGGAGAAAATGCYAGGTATTCATCTGACAGARGATTAACACCCAAAATATATAAAGAATCCAAAAAMTTTAACAGAACAAGTAATCAAATCAACATACTGACAAATTATTTGAATAGAAACTTCTCAAAAGAAATACAAATGGGGCTGGGGTTGTGGCTCAGCAGTAGAGCACTTTCCTAACACATGTGAGGCACTGGGTTCAATCCTCAGCACCACATAAAAATAAATAAAATAAAGGGCCATCAACAACTAAAAAATATTTTTTAAAAAATAAAAATAAAATAAATAAAGGTGTTGTATCCAACTACAACTAAATATATATTAAAAAGAAGTACAAATAGCTAATAAATATATGAAAGATGTTCAGTATCTATAGGCATCAGGAAAATACAAATCAAAACTACATTGAGAATCCACTTCACACCCCCACTCCCATCATAATGGCAATTATAAAAAAAAATTAACAAATGCTAGCAAGGATGTGGAGAAAAAAAGGAACACAAATACATCGTTGGTGGAAATATACATTAGTGCAGCCACTATGGAAAGCAATATGGGAATGGAACCACCATTTGATCCAGCTATCCCTCTCCTTGGTCTATACCCAAAGGACTTAAAACAGCATACTACAGGGACACACAGCCACATCAATGCTTATAGCAGCACAAGTCACAATAGCTAAATTGTGCAACCAACCTAGATGCCCTTCAATAGACGGATTAAAAAATGTGGCATATATACACAATGAAATATTACTCAGCAATAAAATAGAATAAAATCATGGAATTTGCAAGTAAATAGATTGAGTTAGAGAAGATAATGCTAATTGAAGTTAGCCAATCCCAAAAAAACAAATGCCAAGTGTTTTCTTTGATATAAGGAGACTGATTCACAGTGGGATAGGGAGGGGGAGCATGGGAACTCTAGACAGGGCAGAGAGGTTGGAGGAGAAGAGASGGGGCATGGGGTTATTAATTATTAATAAAGATCTATTGACAACTAAAAAAATTTTTTTAAAAAGTAGAAACAGGACTGGGGTTGTGGCTCAGTGGTACAGTGTTCACCTAGCATGCATGAGGCACTGGGTTCRACGCTCAGCACCACATAAATGTAAAATAAAGATTTTGTGTACACCTAAAACTAAAAAATAAATATACATATTAAAACAATTTTTTTTAAAAAGTGGAAACAACCCAAATGTCCAAGATCTGGTGAAGGGATAAACACAATGTGGTTTAACGATGCAATGGTATACTGTTTGACAATGAAAGGAAACAAAGTACTGATATATGTTACAGCATGGATAACCTCAAATGAAAGCCAGACACAAAAGAACATACATATTTATGATTCTGTTTATATGAAATCTCCAAAAACTCAAGTCCCAAGAGGACAYAAAGTAAACTAGTGGTTGCCTATGACCACTAAGATTCAAGATGACTATAAATGGTTTATTCTGGGGCATGATGGAAATGTTCTCTGACCTTTGCTAGAGTGTTGTGATGGTGAAACAATTTTGTAAATACACCAAAAAAAATTTATTAACACAAAACTGTAAACAAAAAACAATACTGAAAGGAATTATAATCTTTAAAATGAGATGAAACGCAAAAAGATAGTGTTAGAAATTCCAAAGTAATGCAAACCCCCTTTCCAGATGTACTTTTGTTATTTTTGCTTCCCTGCACACAGTAGCAATTTATAAAATATTTCAGACAGCTTAGCAGAACTCAATAATAGTGTGACTAAAACAAAAAAAATTAAGTCTCCAATGTTAAAATAGGTTTTCTAAAGACAAACTAACAATATTCCTCACATTATAATGAATTAGAGTCCTAAATTTCTTCAACTAAGAAATAATTCCAAAGCTATTTACACCTCTCAGACATGTGAAAATCAAATGACACAATTTAGGCTTAGCCTGATGCCTGATATATAGTAAATACTCAATAGGTGTTTGCTGCCACAATTATAAATAGAAAGTATTCAGTTTCATCCTGATGATACTGCTCATGTTTTCTATGATTGATATGACAAAAGCCCCCAAAGGAGTAATTACTAGAGTAGAAAAATATATATAATTTCATAAGTATATCATATTACAATAGAAATAAGTCTATAGGTCCAAATTCTGTAAACTCATTAGTAATAAAAATGAGATCAATAGATGAAGCAAACCAAACTGMAGTCTTCTAAAAACACTCAATCTGCCCAAAATAATTTTATACAGCTATGAACACATGCCACTTGTGCTATGAAGCAAATACATGAAAATTTCCCATCACTATTCATTGTTTTATTTAACAAAGTTACTTCCTACCTCTGTCTAAAAATTTAATTCTCATAACCTAGTTTCACACAAACATCTCACCATGTTCTCAGTTTCTAGATATTCAAAACATTCTATCTATCTGAGCCTAACAGGTAGAAAATTTAGAAAAAAGTTAAGGATGAAAAGTTCTAGAATATTCAGTAAAGGTTAAAATATAGAAAGAATGCCCTTTGCTGGCTTAAGACAGTGCAAATCAATTTAGATCCTTTATATGCTACATCAGAGATTTTTTCAAAACAAAAAAAATTCTTCTTTTAAATATTCAAGCATATGTCCTTACAAATGCCATGAAGAAATACTTTATGAATATTTCAACTTTGTGAATTTAAATTAATATAATATATTTATATTGTCAATAAAGGCTTCAGGCACAAATTCTAAAATAATACAAAGCACTCTAAATTCTAAACATCTGTCAAAAATCACATTCCAGCGCTGGGGTTGTAGTTCAGCACTTGCCTCACACAYATGAGGCACAGAACCACATAAAAATATTGGGTCCATCTACAACTAAAAAWATATATATTTTTTTWAAATCACATTCCATTTCTCCAAAGCTGGCCAGCTRAGTAAAGTATAAATCTGATAAACTATTGCCGATTGGCTATATCACTTTTACCAGTTTTAAAAAATCCATTTTCCTGTCAGGACCATCTTAACATACTGTTTTTATATGTATTAAAAACATGTATTACAGTCATTATTATACTTCTATCTCAATACCTACTGCTATTGAATTTTAAAATCTTTTTAATCTTCTCTGTCATTAGGTATATATTAATAGGACCTTATAGTGCTAACTCTGATAACATACCTGAAAATTATTACCTCAGGAATAGTAGTCAGATGTCATAAACTCTATAAGGAAGGCCAAAAATTGCAGTTTTATGCTAGCTGATAATTTAGGAGAAAACAAACTGAAAGATATTAGATAAAATGCCAGGGGAGAAAAGCAATATTAAAGTAATAATATGTTATGATGGTTATTGACTTGATATCCTCAAAGAACCTGTCCCCACAACTTTATAGTCATCTTTATGGAAAGATAAGACTTCAATAAATTTTGAGCCATGCAAGGTTTTCAGGATTTCTTTCCCATAAAAATTAAACAACTTTATATAGACAAACTTTTCAGAAAATGTGGCTTGACTTTTTAATGAAAATATAGGATCCATGAAATAAAATTTTTGATATGATCTTAATAATCTTTGGAGAAACCAAGTCTATAAACAACTGAGTTTGTTCATATTTTAAGGATCAAGTCATCATTATTATACCTACAGATGTAATGATATTTTCATCTTGACAATTCATCCACCATATAGTAGTAGGTCAAGAGGTTTATAGAAATGATATGGAGTCACCGATATATTTTTGTATTTTCTATAGACAATTTACTTGAAAGGGGATGTGAACTCAATAGCTTATAGAAGTACTCTGGCATAAATTCAGGGACTCCATTTAGTCTTCTAAATTTGTGTGATCTTTCAATAATTATAGTTTTTACTTTGCTACATTTTTTCACTCACTATGCTAAAAAGAGAAAATTCAATACCCTTTTTTAAAATAACAACTTTCTAATCATTTATTGATGTCCAATCCAAAAAAGCTCTGAATTCCTTCTGAAAATAACTATAATGTGTGTCCTCCTGATACTTAATTCTAATATTAAATAGTTCACTAACACTATGACTACAGGATCATAATTTCTAAATACAGTATCTTTTTCATTACTGATCAGAGATGAATCAAGAATTTTTATTATTCTACATATACCTTTTGCTTTATCAGATAAGCGTATCAAGAAGTTCCAAATGCAGAAAAACAAGGAGTTAAGATGACTCACAACCATAGAAAGTTAGAAGTTAGAAGGAACCTCATTGAGTTCAACCCTTCTGTTTTAAATATTGTGGTGAATGAATCCCATAAAGCTTCAGCGAGTCACTCCTGGTCATGCTATCTGTAGTACAAGCCATCTTATATCACACTCATTCACACATTGGTATCTTACCTTTCCGATGATGACTTAGAAGTGACAGGATGCCCATGAAYACTTTTTTTATTTTTATGGTCTAGAGAGATGACTTTATTTCTTAGGCTTCTTTTCCACTAGGAAAAAAAAATATGTCCAATTTTAATAATAAATACAATAATAATATGATAGGAGGCACTTAAAATGTTGTCTTAATTTAGAAACTAAGATAAACAGCCAAAAGCTTAGTAGTAAACAGAGAAAAAAAAAAGTACAATCTACAGAATACAGAATCTTAGAATACAGACTTTTTTTTAATTCCAGTGCTGGGAATCAAACCTGAGGCTTCACACGTCCCAGGCAAGTGCTCTACATGTCCAGCCCATACCTGCATCTTTTGCTAGTATTGAAATACAAATGCCCAAAAAATTAATTTTAAAATGTATGTATATATGAACCATTAAAAATTGTACAGATGTGTTTAGTCCAGAAATCAATATTCTGAGACTCCCCAGTTTAAAGAACTATAAAAATTTGCAATGTTTAAAGAAGTAATAACATGCTAGAAACATAGCTCAGTGGTACAGCACTTATCTACCATGGACAAGGCTCTGTTTTCTATTTCAGCAACTCAAACAAACGAAAATACACACACACATAATTTTATGACTACTTATTTGTTACACACGAAGGTAAATGGGGCCTATGATCCTGAAGTAAATGCATGTCAAACAACTAGAAGGGATTAAAATCTGTTCCCTGTGAACCCAGGAAATGGAAGAAAAACAGATATCTTACTAATAGGTTTAGATCTGATATGACAAAGAAAAGGGGTTAAAACTATTTATTTGTATGTAAGTAGTGTAAGATATTTGTATACATATCAATATCTTAACCTAAACACATCTGTACAATTTTTAATGGTTCATACATAAATATATTTATATTGTTTTTTCTGGTACTGGAGACTGAACCCTGGGCCTCAGGCTCACCAGGCAAGCATTCTACCACATTCCCAGCCCCAGTTTTTATATTCTCTATGTCTTTGTTTCCTTTTTTGAAAACTGATGTAATCATGCTTCAATCAATACATGTACAATCATTACACATGTAATTAAGTTTTAAAGACTGTCTTCATCTAAGAGGTATTTGTATATCTGCTATTCGTAACAACATCATTTAAAATAGCCAAAAGGTGGAAGCATCTCAATGTGCATAAACAGAAGAAAGGGTAAACAAAAAGCTATCTGTGTATGTGTGTGTGTGTGTATACACACACACACACACACACACACACAATGAAATATTACTSAGCCCTAAAGAGGAAGGAAATTTTGAAACATGAATATGAATGAATTCTGACAGTATACTACATGAAACGAGCCAGCAATGAAAGGACAAACACTGATGTTCCACTCATATCAAGTACCTAGACTAGTTAAATTTATAGAGCTAGAAAGCAGTAGTGACTTCTAGGGACTGGGAGGAAGGCACAATGGGAGCTTTTTGTTTTGGGTGCTGGGGAGCAAAGGTTAATGGGGAGTTACTTTTTAATGGACACAGTTCAGTTTTACAAGATAAAAAGACTACTGGAGATGGATGGTGGTGATGGTTTCACAATAATGTGAAAAGTATTGTCACTGAACCATACCCTTAAAATGGTTAACATAGTGAATTTTACATCATGTGTATTTCACCACAATATAAAATAGTTTTTTAATAAGATGGGGGAAAATTACTCTCTTAAATGTGTCAATAAATGTTGTCCTATAAATGCTGCAGGTATTCTATTATCACCACAACCCAACATAGTATAAAACATATCACTCCAAAAAAAAAAAAAAAGTGAAGCTCAGAGAATAAACCTGCCCAACTGAACCTGTGTCTGTCTAACATAAATCCTGTGTTCCCTCTAACACTCTAAATCAGAATTAAATAAATTCTGAGAAATCCTTTGTATCAATATCTTAACCTAAACACATCTGTACGATTTTTTTTTTTGAGAGAGAGAG